ACTTGTGGTACTGTGTGGAAAAAATGAAGTTGGAGTGACTCCAAATCCCTGTGTTTGTACCCTTTCCATGGTATTCAAGACTCGTGACAACCATGAACACCCTCTCATTTGCTTCTATATTATCATTTTCAGGAGTAAACTTTTTCATCACTAAAATTGTGCAAGCTTGTGTCTACATTACAAAATACTATAGTTAATGTCAAAATATTTATTTGAATAATTATTATAAATAGATAAAGGAAATATTTTACCCATTTCTCCTTGGAATTTTCAGATGACCATCTCCCATCATTATGTATCGTATTATGTCTCAATAAGTGCAATATATTCTGAAAAGACTATAAAAAAATTAAATCGATATACTTTTTTATTACATTTTATAAAAAAAATAACATCATATAATTTTTATTTTTCTCTAGACATAACAAATCTGATCGATTGTGTGAGGATTTTTGTTTTTGTTTTTTTTTTCATTTTTAGTATTTTTTGTTGCCATCATCTACGATAAAAATATTAGTTCTTTCATTCAATTCAAAATCATATATAATTTAATGAATGCTTGATAATCTTATTATGACCACAATGTCACAAGTTGACACCATGAAATAAGTTTTCTCCTTCAGAAACATCCTCCATAATCTTTTGCCTGGGGTAACTACCCCAATGCTTTGACTTTAGGCTATTCTTGTAGTTACAATATTTAGTACCAACACATTTTAAAATCCAATGACGTATATGACAAAAAAAATAACTTTAGCATTCAAATTACTTGGTTAAAAATTATGAATGAAATAGTAAATAATAGTACAAATTATTAATATTTTCAAAATACTTCTATCTTTGCTAGCAAATTTTTGTTTGAAAATGGGGTAGGCGAAGAGAAAGTGATTGTTGCTTTAGGGGTTTGATAATGAAAGGAAGAGAGAAGTGAGGGTAAGCGATTGTGACCTATTTGGGGTAGGCTAAAAAGAAAGTAAGAAAATTGGGGTGGTGTTTTGGCTAGGGCAGAATGAAGAGAAAAGTGAGGGATTAGGTTTAGGTTTTCATGCATGGAAGGAGGAGGGACAGGGAGGGATATGGTTTGGTTTTGGGGTGGTGGAAGGAGGTAAATGTGTGGTTTAGATGAAGTTTTGACAAGGGTAAGATGAGGGAAATTGTGGAGTTTAGATGAAGCTTTGATTAAGATAGGAAGAGGGAAATTGTGTGAGAAAGGGGTATGGGTTTTGAGTAATGAAAGGAGATGAGATAGGGAAGGATAGGCCATAGATTTCATCCATGTAGAAAAATAATGAAAAAAGGAAGAAAGTTCACATCATAATTTGCAAAATTAAAGGAAGGAAAAATAGTTTTTACCTTGGTCTGAAGATGTGTTTGGTTGCTTTTCTTGGGTGAGAGGAGAGCATTCTTGTTTTCCTTCTTGAGCAGAGGGAAGAGGATGACGCCAGCTAGGGAAGATGAATAAGAAGGGGGAAAGGGAGAGTATGTTTCAGGCAAGAGATGAGGAGAGTAGGAGAGGGAGGGTTTTAGGTAAGATAATAGAATGAGTGGGATCGAGAAATTTTTAGTTTTTTTTTTGGAAAGGACAGGGAGTTATTATAGAGTTTGGGAAAGAGAGGGGACTAAGAGGATGTGAGAAATTTTGGGTAAGGGGCTTTAATTGTGTGTGTGTGGGGGGGGAGTGTTAGTTATGATGGTTATGGACAAAGTGAAAACATATTTCATTTGAAAGAGAAAAATGCAAGAAATCTAATGGTGCAATTGATTTTGAGTGATGTGGCCTCCAACTCGAGGCATTTCAATTTGAAGTGACTAGGTGGTTATGAGTGATTGAAGGTGGTTATAGCCAAAATTTTGACCTTAGCTCATTTGGTAGATAAATATACAAGAAATTCAGTGGCATAACTAGATAAAGTTGGTCCCATCTCATGACATAACAAGTCAAAGTGTAGCCCCTACCGTAGGTGAGAAACTTATGGTGGAATTTGATAGATGCTTTTAGTGGGTTTTAATTGATTAAATTAAGAGATTTCATCTCAAATACATTTTAGTTGAAGTTTGGTTTTAATTTGAGTTTATATTGTGTTAATTTTTAGGATTATACTTTTTATTATTGAAATTATCATCCAAATTATCATAGACTTAATTTGCCCCTAAATGAAGTCTAATTTGGATGCAAAGGCATCCATTTGAAAGGTTTTGACTTTCTGGACACACTTTAACAGTCTGTTTTAATAAATAATGATTCATTGAAAAATTATTATGTGGGACCATTTTTCATCCAAAATGAAAAGACTTATGTAAAAGTGACTGATCATCAACAAACTAGTTTGCACGCTTCAAATATAACATTATGAATATCATGCATCTTACAGAATAAAATTCTGATTATTTGATTGGTCTGTAAAGAAAAAGATAATTTGAAGGTGCTTAGAGCACTATTCAAGCATGAAAACTTGAAGTAAAACTTTTTTATGTAAAAAATATGTTATATAATCGTCAAACTAGTTTGCATATTTTTTATAAGAGATAATAAACATCATGTAATTTTTAGAATGAAGATCCAAGCTTTAAGTTGACCTGTGAAGAAAATAATAATTTTTGTGCTTGTTGGTTAAAACTAATTTTTTAGATTACGTTTAGGGTTTAGCTGAAATTAGTTATATTTTTTCTATGTTTGGTTGAGTTCAATAACTATTTACTATATTTTAATTTTAAGTTAAATTAGGATTTAACTCGAGTGTTAGCTCAAATATAGTTCAAGTTATAACTTATATAAGTTCAATACAGTCATCCAATTACACTAAGAGGAATGCTCTATGTCTTAATGTGATTGGATATAAGCTATGGAAAATGTTGACTTTAAAACAAAGTCAACAACACACACACATATATCATCTAGTAGTAACATCTCATATGGTAATTAAAAGTTTAGATTAATGGGTGTTTAATTTAGCTATTACTAAATCAAGAAGAATATTATTGATGAAAAATTTGTAGTGCTTCAAACTAATTAGGGGTTTCATTATTATTGGGTCATGCCACTTAGAGTAAGGAATACTAGTTTACCCACTAACATCTTCTGAAAAAGGTTTTTAAGGATCATAACAGGTGCACCATAACATATTACGATGAAGATATGCTTTTTGAAAAGTTTGAAGAGAGCATAGCATATTTCAAGCTTAGACTATTACTTTCACCACTTTTGTTGTAATACTTTTTATCTCAATCCAACTAAGTCCACTTTTAAAGTTATGTTGGGTAAGCCTTCAGATTTAGAGGCACCCATTGAGAAATCAAAGCTAATCTTGAAAAGTTTAAAGGAGTTAAGAATTAGACATATCTAAAAAGTGTAAAGAGGCACAACACTAGATGGATAACAACCTTGTCATAAATGTTGGCTTGCTATGGAGCTAAATATTTTTCCATTCTCAAAGACACTTTAGGGTGCTTGTAATATACATTTTCAATTGATTGATGAATGTTAATTAACCTTTGAATAGGTCAAAGAAATTTTGGTTTCACCACTTCTACCATCGAAACGAACCCTATGAGAAGCACTTATATCTTATTATTTCTCTGTATATAATATGTTCAATGCTATTGGAAAAGGAGAATATTGGGTAACATGCTCTTTATTGTGTCAATTTGACATTATCAAACATTGATGGATGCTACCCATTAATAAAATTGATATATATGTCATTAATAATTTTATTAAGAAGTTGTGTGTGCAATTTTAGATTTTTATCATAATTATTTATACCCAACAATCATATAGGTTATTACTTTGTTTTTCATTTAATTTAGGACTTATCTTGGGATCAATTTTATATTTTATATTTTATATTTAGTTTTATTTTATTTTTTTATTTTTTTAAAAAAAATTGTTTATTGTGTTTTTAAAATATATATTTTTTTATTTTTATAGACAAATAAACATGTTTTTGAAAATATCGAAAATAATTTTTAAACATTTCTGAGTGTTTTAATAAATAATCATATCTTAATTATACGTACTAAACATATTTTATTTCAAATTAATATATAAAAAAATAAGAATTAAATTAAAAAATAAAAAAAAAATAATCCTAAACTTAATTGCCTTGATTTTTTTTTTATAAATTTTTACTAACTTTATCAAATTAAATACAATTTCTTTTAACATTAATTATACTAAATAAATATTAGTTTATTGTTAATTGTGATGTTCACAAGTGATCTTGTGCAAGCCATGACTAAGTATAAACAAGCCCACCACAAATGTGATTAAATATTATGTTTATTTAATTTTTTTATTAATAATTTTAATTGATTATAAATCTTTATATTCCTATAGTCAATTTTTTTTAAAAATACTACTCATCAATACTCTATATAGCGCGCGTGCGAACTAGTTGGTTCTTTAGTGGGCAAAATGTTTAAGACTCCTGGGGTCCCGTGTTCGGAGCTCGCCCTGGACAATACTTTGCAAACCATCTTTTATATATATATCTATATATATATGTATATATAATTTCGAGCTAAAGCAAACCGAACACAAACGAATGAATTGAACACGAGCTTCTTAACGACCCAAACACAAACTGATCGCGAACAAGCTATTTTGACAACCCAGTCAAGACCAATTTTTAAACTTTTAAATATTCCTATCATAACTATTATTGTCAAGTTACTTCATATGAATACTTTTGCAAAACCTATAATTTTTTAAAACAACACTCATCTTAAATTAAATACACCAGGTGATTCATGTGTAGGATAACCAATAAGATTTGATTCATTACAATCTATGCATCAATCAATTTTCCCAATTGACAATAGGAGAATAAATCCAAATCAAAATTAACTGGGGCACTTAGGTCCGGGACATTTTCATGCATATCACATGATTCTAATGCATTTACATAGCTAACCATTAAGCTTTTGCATTTCACAAGCATGAAACTCTCTATACAATCCAGAAACCATTCTGCAAGACTAAAAATTACACAGTTAAAAAATTGCTTTAATTGCCTCCACAAGTGAAATCTGAAACAAAGTTTACACTTTTAGATGACCAAACCAAACCCATTGGTTACAAAAAGCATGCTTATTTGACATTGAAACAGATAGTTAAAGCAGTAAAGACAAATATCAAAAAAAACAATCGGAGTATAAGAAAATAATAACAATTTAAGAAATTATCCAAATGCACAGAAAACCTGGAAGGTTCATCTTGCAAAAAAAAAAGGCCAGTTTCAGTGATAGGAGTTTTGTCAGGAGGCAAGCACCATATCATGCATAGAATGTGGTTCATAGATGGTGCCTGATATTCTTGATGGTGGCCAGTATCGTAGAACAGACCTCCCAATTATATTCTTGACAGGAACTGCCCCCCTATAAAACACCAAGGAAAAGTAACAATTAATCCATTAGCAGCAATTTGACATTTTTCTTCACTCAGAACTTCATTTGCAGTGTTAGAGTTTGTGATTCATATACTATTAGGCATGAATATAGATTATATCAATGTAAGGATTCCACATTATGAATGCAAATAAGTAATCTCATATTTTGGTTTCAGAACTAACCAATTGTGGGAGTCAAAACTGTTGTTCCGGTTATCCCCAAGAACAAATACATAACCTTCAGGCACAAGCTGCAAAACCAAAACCAGCCCAAAAATTATAAGAATACAAAGAAACCAGAAGAAATAATAAAGATGAATTCTGAATAAGTACAATTATTTTATGTAGAAATAGTTCAAAAGACAGAATTTTCCCCTTTAGTTTAAGAGATCAGATAAAATTCACAGAAGACAGGATTCTTATATTAGAAGTAAGCATTATTCTTATAGAAATTACATTAGATGTATATCAATATATCATTATTTCATATATCGCTCTACCACTAATGGAAACTATTAAAAATGTAGTTCAAATTTCTTTACTAAAAAGGATTAAAAATTGAAAAATAACTGTTGAATAAAAAGTGCGTGCAACAAGGTTAATCGTTCATACCACAGGATCCATTTCATATTTCAGTGGCTCTAAGATGAAATCTTCCTCCTGAACAACACCATTGACCAACAACTTCCCATTAAAAACCTGCCAAGCCATAGAATTGTCAACATTTTCTTGCTTCTTCAAATTGAAAGAATGAACTGAAATGTTGAAATGCAGAAAATAAATATCAAAAAGCTAGAATTATCAATCAAGCAGCCTACCTCAACAACATCTCCACCCTTCGCTACAACTCTTTTGATGAAGACATCACGAGGGCTGTAACCACGTTCCTACACAGCCCACAGGAAAAACAAATGCAAATTTTCAATATTAAGATTGCAATGATATAAATTAATTGATGCTAAATTAAATGGGAGAATACATAAAAAGACAAGAATTTTACCACAAGAACTGGTGGAGTCCTGAAAATAACAATGTCAGTAACTTCTGGTTCCTTGAAAAAATAAGAAACCTGCAATCCAAAAACAGAAAGTCAATAAATATAATACATGTTAAATCATAAATGTTATTATCTGACTAATGTATCAAATGGAAATTCTAATTAAATCATATTAAAGAGGTAATTTTTTTACTTAACTAAAGCAAACATAACAGGATTAAATAATATGAAATTATAATCTTTACTAAGATTAACAAATCCTAAACAGACCCTTATTCATGAAATTTAAAAAAATCAAATCTTTTCATAGATCACCTTTTCAGCCAAAATCCGGTCTCCAACTTCAAAGGTTGGATACATTGACAATGAAAGAATTGATCTTGGCTCAGCCAAACGGGAGCCATACAGCAAAGGAACAGTTACAGCAGCAAAGACAGCCTTCGCGTCATCAGAACACGAACTCGTCCACCGTGACAGCCAACAATCATTCTCACTAGCATGCTTTCCAACACCCTCAGCCAAACCCTTTGTTTTAGTTTTTCCAGTCACATTCTTCAAGCAACCCATGGAAGCACTAGGAAGGTTCTTCAACGAACCAGGAACAGGGGCCTTCGTTTCAGGATTTCTAAACCCGCTCTTTACCGAACCTCCACTGGAATTAAAACACTCATCAGTCAGTACACTCAGCTCAACAGCTGCAGTTCCTCCTTTATCCGGCGGGGAACTTCTCGCTGAGCAAGGGAAGTACTCGCTGCAAGGGAGCCACTTACTCACCTGCAGAAAGGGGAGCAACGAGGAGGGTTTGAAACCCAAACTCATCGAAGAAGAAACAAAAAAATCCCCTAAACCAGGGGCCGAACCCGAGCCAGTAGCCATGGCGGACAGCAATCCCCAGAAAGGAGGAAATCCACGAGAGCCCTCCCCGGCGTAACAATCAGAAGGGAGGACCGGAAACTTAGAAGAGGCGGCGGCCACTAGAGGTTTCAAGGACTCCTCAGCAAAGGCAGCTGAAGAGTTCGTCCGAACGCTGCTGGACAACGACGAGAACTTGGAGGCGGCCGCTGCTCCGGGAGGTTTTAAGGACGCCGAGAAACCAGAAATCTGAGCCTTCGCCAAAGGAGATAACCAAGCAACAGATGATGAGACGCAAGAAGCCAGTGTTCTGGACAAATTTCTAGAAGAGAAATCGCCGCTGCCGCCGGGATCATACGCATCGGCATCTGATCGCGGGTTAGAGAATAGCGAGAGGGATCTACCGGCGGCCCCGTGGGTGCGGCGGAAAGGGCCGGACCGGGTGGCGGCGTGCCGGCGGCCTCGTGGATGCGGCGAAAGTGGCCGCAACGGATGCCGGCGGAGGAGGCAAAGCTCTGGGCTAGATAGCCCGAGCAGGAGATGGTGACGCGGATCGCCATAACTGCGAAATTGAAGAGAGCAAGGAGGATTGGATGCACTGGTAGAGAGTAGAAGAACGAGACAGGCGAGGCGTGCCTCGAGCCTAAAGGGATTCCATCACCGTTGATGCGAGATTTGAAGCAGCGAAGGAAGAAAGGAATTGGAAGAGTTGCTGGAGAGGTGAGTTCTGCGAGGGCTCGAGGAGATGGATGTGGTGGAGGATGAGGGAAGGGGTTAGGGTTAGGGTTATGGTTTGCTTTCTCTTCCCGGGCCGCTCTCTCTCGGGGAAGAGAGGGAGAAGCAACGACTTCGAGGAGAACGCGATGGCAGGGAGAAGTCGCTGGTAGAGCGAGGAATAGGCGGAAGGCGGCTGGGAACTTATTTCTGTATTATTACGAAAATACCTCTCCGGGTTGTTTGGGATTATCTTCTTTTACTTTTACAAATTAAAAAGAGAGGAAAATTTTTATTAACCTTTTTTTTTTGTAATAAACCATTTTGTTTCAAAAAGATATTTTAAATTGATTTGAAATAATTTCAGCAATTAATTTAAAAAAAGTCATCTCTTTTATGGAATTTATAATATCTTTAATGCTAAGAATGTTAAAAATGTTTTAATTAGTCATAGATGGTAGGTACTGGATCACAGCGTGATGATAATTTTAAAAATATTTTGGGGGGTCGTGGTTAGGCACTGGATCACATAGGCTCACATTGACACGACCTTTATTTTTTGTGGGTCAACATTGATCATGTCTATTTTTTAGTCCATTGAATCTCATCCAAATTCATGCTGACATATTTTGGGTGTGCATATTTAATTTTTCGATTCTCTTACTCCTTGAAAGTCTTGCTTCAACAAGAATAAGTGTATTTAATAGAAAAAAATAGATTCATTTATATCAAAATTTGTGCTTTAATAATGAAACTCCTTAGATATTCACAGTAGTGGCCTTCTATAAATAGGGTGCTGAGAGTATCATATTCATTTACTTTTCTCAAGAGTGTGTCAGTTCAACCAGCTGAATCTGAGGGAGTTTCTATGGCAAGTGGCAAGAAGTCTCCATTAGACGATCATACCGAGGATACATTGGAGGGTTCCTTCGAAGGGAGTTGTCCCAAGACATTGAAGAAGCCCATGGAAGCAAAGAAATAGAAGGAAAGGACTTGGCCTGAAGGGGTAAGGCGGAAGAAGCAGCTTGCATCAAAGAAGAGGCAGATGCTGGACAATGATGAAGTCGGGTTGTCTGATTAGTTGAAACTCTTTCAGCAGAAGGGAGGTAGGACATGTGGGTAGTCTAATTCATAGAACCCCAATTAACTAATAAGACATGTATATCTATGTCACTTAATGTTGTCTCCTTACATGTTGTACTCACTTTTTTGTGCTTGGATGTGTTATTCCCTATATCTACAATCATGTCAAGCAATCCTTTCTAGGTGACTTCGTAACTCTAGGTTAGAGGCGTTCTTAGGCATATGTGGGGCTAAGTTATAAATTTTACATTTGCATTATTCATGAGTGGTACATGATTTATACATTAGTCACTTCTTTAAATTTAGGTTTGAGATTGGCATTGTCCTATAATATTTCAATTTTTTATTTTTGGGCAAGCTTAAATTTTAGAAGGTTATAATATATACATATCTACTTCACTTAATGATATCTCTTCACATGCTAAGCTATTATGCATGACGTGCTTGCTAGAACTCACTCTTTTATGCTTGGATGTGTTATGCCCAATATGTTGAGTAGCAATTTCAGCCTTTCTTCCTAAGCAACCTCACTTAGAAAAATCAACATATATCAAACTAAAAAATAAAAGAAAAATGAGCATCCTTAATCAAGTGTGTTCGAAATTAGCCTTGGGCGCTTGAGCTCATCAAAAAATAAACTCAATTCAATATTATATATTTACTATAAGAAATCTCTAATTTAATTAAGTCACATATACTTTTGTCTATAAAGTCCATTGAGTGAACCGCCTTCTCTTTTTCAAGATAGTAAAATCTCATATCTATATTACTCTAATGATAAAATGTAAGTGTGATTAATTTGCTTTTTATTGATTCTTATGTTGGAGCATAAATAACTAAGATTACTTTAGTCAAGATACTGTGATACAATCCTTTGTGACTTTCTCATAGTTTCTTCAGATCCGCATAAGTCCCATTCAAAGACACACAAAATCATTTTAACTCAGAGGATAAGAGATGTTAGAAAAAAAAAAGAAAGAAAACCCAATATATGCTAGATGACAAATATATAGTAAATCATGTGCTCAAGGAAAATTTAAAAAGATGTGGCCCTTTGCCCTCTTCCAGATTCCTTCTTTATATTTAGGGATTTAGGTTTGAGTGCTCTAGGAATGACTACTTGGTATGTTATACATATAAAAATATATAAAAGTAGAACACAAGAGACTAATATATAAATTTGGTGTCAACTAGTAGTTGGCAGCCATACATTGAAACGTTGGCTTCTTCGGTGGAAATCATCGAGAAATTTTTTTGGCTTGGATGACTGTTGAGCTGAGTTGACTTGAAAAGCCTCTTGGTAGTATTATACAAGTGCTTTAGGGACTTACTGGATAGCCCTCATAGTCAACCGATGAGTTCACCCTGATTTTGACTGACATATGCCCTTCTAAAGCTCGGACCGCTCGTCTTTCCCGAGCTCTACTTGGCGAGTTCTTCTTGAGCTCTCGCTAAGAGTGTTTTTTCTTATCATTTGCTATGGTGTGTATGTCCTTATGGTTTACAAATAGCTTTTATTTTTACATCATAAATCGGCGAATCTTCTATTTAAAATAAATAACTAAATTATAAATTTGAGAAAATTTTTTTTTTGTCATTTGCTATTCCACAGTAATTAATTATAAAATTTTTGATAAATTTTTATCATGAAATATGCTTTAGAGCTGATTATAAGCAATTATATCATTGGGACATGTAAATAAATCAAAATATAAAATCACATACTAAAATATCTAGCATATGTATGCTTACATTAATCTTACCTTTTGAACTTGGAAGCACGTGGAGGAAAAAATGTGCATGACTTTGCTGACGTAAGCGCTTAGGTCAATGAAATCCTACTTTATATGTTTTGAGAACTGATCGGTTGGAAAATTTGTTTTCTATAATTTATTCAATTTTTTTTCTACGGAAAAAAAATATAAATGTCTTCCATAGTCTTGAAATCTATATGTTTATGGCTAAAAAAATACAACAATAATAACAAAATCTTTATCCTATTATGTGGGGTCGGCTAAATGAATCCTTTTTCTCTATTGCGTCGTATTTAGTGTCATATTGTCATTTAAATCTAATAAATTAAGATCATTTTTTTATACAGTACGCTCAAGTCTTTCTAGATCTATCTCTGCCTTTCTTAACATAAGTCGATTCTAAAACATCTACTCTTGTAATTTGATCATCAGATGGTCGACATTTAATGTGACCAAACTATCTAAGACGATTTTCTCTAATTTTGTCTGTCACTGGAGCTACACCAACCATATCATGGATATATTCATTTCACATTTTGTCTCTAAGTGTAAAGCCACTAATCCACCTAACCACCCTTAAAAGATATATTTTTAAAATATATTTTAATTATTTAAAATTTTCAAAGAATAAATTGCATTATTTTAGAAATACTTGAAATAATCTTGGTGTACATTGAGTAATTCTAAAAAAGTAATTATCATATTAGAATGGTAAAATAGATCATTATTTGCTTACCTTTATCCCCCTTTAGATAAATTGATTGATTAAATCAATCAATTTGTGAGTCAATTAGCTAAGTAGGATTGATATAAAGTTGGTCATTATAAGACAATTTCATGGCCATGATGTCTAAATAGTAATGACCATTCAAAGCATATTAGCTCATAGCTTACATAATCATTCATTAATACTATTTTTGTGATAAAAATCAATGTAGAATCAAAGCTTAGCGATGCTTGCTTCTACTTAAAGTATGAGTTTGGTGATTCTAAACCTAAGAGTGGATGTTAAGTAAGCACATCTTGGTAGCAAATAAAGTAGGAAAGCTATTCTTCCATTTGAATTTGACTAAGTTTTTTGGAGTTTAAACATGTGAAAATCAAGGTTGGGAATTGACACTTGAATTTAATTTACAAAAGTTGAAGGGGGAAATGAAGAAAGTGAGATAAGGATATGGTGAGAAGGAGAGATATCAGACGTAGGGCCGAATAAAATAAAATCAAATTTATTTGTTCTAGATAAAAGAGAATTTTTATAACCAATTAAGGTATGGTACCAAAGGCCCAGAAGAAATCAAAATATAACAAAATAAAAAGAAGAATAAAATAAGCTTAAGATATGGCTGCTCTTAGCGCACTGCTAGTCTAATCCATAATGATGATTTGTACCAATTTTCTCGAGAATTTCTCTAATAGTCCCTATCGACCCCAAGAAAAAACAAACTTGTTAACCTTATAGTAGGAAAGACTTTAATTGCTTCTCTATGTAGGCATGCATAAATGATATGTTGGTCAAGAACTTTGATCGGCCTCTTCAAAGATTCTTAATACAAAGCATTTAACCTTCTAATTTGACAACTTGATCTTGAATCTTCTCTTACAAGGCTAATAATTTATCATTTTTGCATTCTAGTAATTATGATGTCTTTCATGAAAGTATTGTACTTTTTCAGGACTTTAATTCATTTATGAACCATTAATGGTATAAGCTTAAAATCAATAAAATAAAAAATATTATTAACAAAATTATATCCTATTATTTTTATTTTTCATCAACCATTGTTTTGATATCTAAAAGGTGATTTCGTTATCAAATTTTTTATTTAATAACTTTGTCATACTAGGGGCTTATAGAGGTTCACACTTATCACTCAACCATTGTTAGAGCATCACCATTAGTTGTAAGTTGGCTATCCAGCCTTATCATATTTTAAGTTTGCTATCAAGCTCGGTTGAAGGATGTGATCATATAATAACTTTTTGAAAAAGAAATGGAGTGATCAAACGCGTTCCTTTTTGGATGAAGATCATGAAAATTCTTACATTATTATAGATAAGGATTAAAAAACACTTTTAAAAATGTATAAATAAATCATAATTTCAATTATTTTCCATTTTTAAAACATGAAAAATCATAATGAATTATATATCTCTAAATACTTCATCAAGCATTTCGATCATGTCGGTGGTATCTAAATTGATATTCTAGTATTTTTGTCCCATTATTCTTTATTTTCCTATCCCAAGATTTCAAATTTTGGCCACTTTAGCATTCTCAAAGTTTTCTTTTTTAGCTTTCCGGAAACCTCTAATCGCTTATGTACCCCAATTAACTAATGAAACCCCCTCCTTTTAGGAGAAGGCTATAAGTGATCTCTCTCCATCATAATCACC